GAGGAGACGAACAGGAAGGAGGAGCCGCCGCGGCGTCTGAGTTCGCGTCTCTGGAGATTTCGGGCGCGTCATCCATTGACGTTGCCACTTGAGAAGCAAAAGCTTCAACAGGGACGCTGCGGAGTAAGGGGCGGATGAAAAAGAACTCGTTTGAACAGCTAACCATCGACAAGAAAATAACATTTGCTTATAAGATCTCTTCTTAACATGTAACAATGTGTTCTTGAAATATTCAGGCGTATACGTCCATGTAGCATTGACATTTGAGACTCGTGTTGTCGCGATCCTCCTGAACGGGCATGTTAGGGGAAAAGAAGGGTTTAGAGATCATGTCGAGTTAAGATCAATAGTACTCAATCGACACAGATTTTCCCAAATCCCTACCTCAAGCGACGTTAGGATTTTCATTTTAATTTGGTTAACCCGAATTTTATCTGTCGCCACTACCCTATTAAGATCGGCTAGAAATCAAATGAAATATAATTCGGGAATTTGATGACACTGGCTATCCAATTAGTGCTATTTCAATACCTAAACTTGATTATTTTGTTAATTAAGATGTTCAAGCAGTCTTTTTACAAAACTACGAAACCTAAGGTTGTTGGAACTCGACCATTCAACTACGAAAGTGAATGGCAACACAAAAATGATGTAAAAGCAATCACAACAAACAAATTAATCAAGAATAACTGAAAAGTGGATAAAATGGTGAAGTGTAGTAAAATAATCCGATACAAGTCGAGCAAAGAACATCACGTGGTCTGGTTATTAAGCCGCGTGATTCTAATATTTAAATCTAACAACCAAATCAATACCTGGATCTCTAACCAATATTTCAATTTTTTTATTTTCAGATTTTTTTATTTTTTAAAAGGGACTCGGGCCGGGCCTGACACAATTGGGCTTTCATATTAAGCCTTTTGGAAAATCAGATTCAAATCAAGCCAATCTAAGTTAAGTCAAGCCCAAACTTAATCAAGCCCCCGGACTCATTTAAGACTATCACAAGCACAAATTAGGAAATGGAACCATCCAAGCCCGGTCTCTATCAAAACCATATTCCAGACCCATACTAAGCTTATGGTAATACTAAGCACAATTTCCTAATATTCCCTATTTATCTATCTTTATTCTTGTTTTCTTTTATTCACCAATGCTGGTCCCTCTCGTCATCTTCCTCTTAGAGATCAAAAACATCGGTTGCCTGGCGATGGCTGGCAAGGGAAAAAGGGATAAAGAAAGGAAAAAGAAAAAAAGGGTGAAAATAGAAAAATTAATAAAAAAATCGCAATATATAATTAAAAATTATCCACGTTAGCGTTGGTCATGTCACGTAGGACGGCCGACGTCCACGTCAGCGATTTCAGGCCAAAGTTAGCCGGATTAACTCAATTGGTAAAACGTGAAAAGGTTTAAGGTTTAATTGGCAAAATTAAAAGGTTATGACTGATAAATTTAAGACTTTTTGGACAATTTGCCTAAAATATCTGCTAGGAGTGTACAAAGGAACCGAGACCCACCCGGACAGCCCGAAACTAGATTGAACTAGCCAAGAATCGGCGTTTCCTATGTGAACCAGTCCGGTTCTCGGTTCCAATTGTGGAATCGCCCATCTAGATCAGATCGATAATATTGTGTATTCGCATTTTTTGTATTTCGTCACCAAGAGCATACCATTTTGTATCAAATTTGGTGTTGATAATGTCAAATATGGGAATTGATATGGGCATAAGATAATGATTGACCGAGGATAAATAGAAATTCGAGCAATGGGCAAGCTTGGACAAGCAATGGGTGGTTTGAGATTAAATGCATTTGATTATCTAAAAAGCGCAACAAATATGGTCAAAAGATATATAAATGGAGAGAATTATGAGGAAAGATTCGTGAATGGGCTGGTGAGATATTTGAATGGAGAGAATTTCAATGGATGGATTTGGGAACAACTTTGACAGGAAAGATCGGTGGCAAGCGCTAATCGGTCAACGCCAAAAAAGGGAAAGAAAGAAATTTTCTTACCAACTTGCAAGGACAAAATTGCAATTGATTCAGCAATGGAAGAGGGATTTTGATGGACAAAAATCAAGGTGGAAAGTTCGTATCAAACAGTACAGCTTGGGCGATCTTCGGAATCAGCGGTTCGATTCTCGGATGAATCCATGGAACTAACAGGTAGTTTCCGATTTCAATTTTTTGAAACCAATCCTTAATAGGCGGTTCCCAGTTCCAGGGTAAGAACTGCCCACCCAACCATGCTCACCCCTATTATCTGCCATATTTTCTAGCATTAAACAAGTGCAAACGCATCATCGAAAAAAGTGAATGTTTCATATAAGGGAAAAAACCACCAAAAACCCCAAATTATGCTTATAGTGACACATTTACCCCAAATTTTTTTTTATGACACAAAAAATCCCAAACTATGCACATTGTGACACATTTACCCTCCGTTAGGGTTTTATTAAAAATCTCTGTTAAAACTCTGACGTGGCGCCACATTAGAAAAAAAAATTTAAAAAAATTCAAAAAAAGTCATTGTTCATCGTCTTCTAGCTCGGCCACAGCTCTTTCTGGAGCTCGTCCGTCGCTGCCCACTGCCGCCTAAACCTCCGGGAGCTTCGTCGTAGCTGCTGACCATGGCGGCCGCGAGCTCGAAGCTTAGCCATGGCTGGGCGGCCGCTCAAGCACGAAGCTTGGCCTGATGACAAAGAAGAGGAATACGATGACAAAGATCCACTTCGACCAAGCTTCGAGCTCGAGCGGCCGCCATGGCCAAGCTTCAAGCTCGCGGTCGCCAAACTACAAGGTCAAAGAATTGAAGCTCAATATTAAGGATGGAGGAAATGGCGAGGCCGTGGAGGTGTCGCTTGGTCTCACGGCCGAAGGTTCTCTTCCTCTGAAACTTCCCAGAAGCTATCCAGGTTCCATTGGGTTCAACTCAAATGGCTGTCTTTCTTGATGGTAAAACTTCTTATCCTTGCATTATCATCTTTTGTGCACATTTTGATAAGAAAAGAAAAGTCATCGGCAGCTATGACGAAGCTCCTCGAGGTCCAGGCGGCAGTGGACAATGATGGACGAGCTTCGGAAGAGCTCTCACCAAGCGAGAAGATAATGAACAGTAACTTTGAAGACGATGAATAGTAACTCGCGATGAACGGTGATTTTTTAAAAAAAATTTAAATTTTTTTCTAATGTGGCACCACGCGAGCGCTACGTCAGCATTACGTCAGAATTTTAATAGAGATTTTTAACAGAACCTTAACGGAAGGTAAATGTGTCACAATGTGCATAGTTTAGAGTTTTTTGTGTCACAAAAATTTTTTTGGATAAATATATTACAATGGACATAATTTGAAATTTTTTATGGTTTTTTCATATCTTACATCTTGAGCTCCGAGCTACCCGAAATTTCTCCATCCTAGAAACTTAGGAAAGTGGCGAACTTAAAAGAAAAAAAAAAAACTTAATGGAATCGAGAAATCCTCGTCCGACACCCATTGATTGCATTGCTGAAACGTAATGGTTCCTCAACGTACGAAACTAAGTACGAATCTTGCTAGCTGGTTAACAACTTAACAAACGTGTGATGGCAGTCAATCCAAGGGGGAGAGGAGCTTTACTGTAGGACGTGCGAGCACAAGGCGCTCCTCCCCCGTACACGAGGCTATCTCATCTTCCGCTACACATGCGTCAAACTCGCCTTCTGGAAACCCATGTCGTTGTGTGCTCGATGAATAGGAAGATAGACAGACGGTCGCATTAAAAAGACAAAACATGACTTATCGAGCGCCGGGTTGTTCGCAGAAACAGATAGATCCCCGTTCAAATTTCCCACACGTGAAATGACCACATGATACTGAATCGCCCATCTAAAGAGTTTGAAGAAGTCGGAAGGTAAAAATTCGGGATAGCCACAGATCTGTCCGATTCCAAGAATTCAAAGTACAAAGCGAAACCAGACGTTGAAATGTCACACGCTGTTTGTTTACGGGTTTACACGCTCTTTATGTGCACGTGATCTCTCTTCGCCTATCATTTTAAGCTTTTGAATTGAAGCTTTTAATATTGTATGGAAGCCGTGTGCATTATCCCATAAAATAATATTTAGTAAGTTTAATAGTACCGATGAACATATCGCGTGATATGTAAGCAGTGTACGAGCATGGACGCCCCTGGTACGAGGCACCTTCGTCTCATTTTCCTCGGTTTCCCCTTTTCTCAGGGAATCTCAAAAAGGGCACGTAGATTTTGGCGTGATGAGACAATGTTGACTTTTTTGATTGCTCCCAAATCATAGCGATGACTTAAAAGTCCAGGAATTAGGCAGATGGGCCCTGTGCACGTGGAACTTGGGCTTGTTTCAAACGGTTGCTAAGCAGTCTCCCAAAATTCTGGTGCTGTACCTTTCAATTTCATCCTAATCCCCTCCCAAATCCTCATTTTTCTGATAGTAGCTCCGGGGTCACAGTCAGAGAGAGAGAGAGAGATGGTGAAAAGGGCCATTTCCTATTGGATGCCAGAGTATCTAAAGCATAAGAAAACCTATGAAGGAGAGAGAGAGAGAGAAATGAGAGAGCTCCTGCTTGTGCTGATGCATGTATTGAGCCGTTGACTATACATCAATGACAGCTGACTCAACTATTTTTCTAGGCAATTATATCAAGACAGAGACGAAGAAGAAAAGAATATGAATCCCTGAACCAATGTTGATGCTGTGAAGGAGTGACAAGTTGCACTTTCCTATACAAAGACCGGCAAAAAGATCAGGGAGCTTGCAGTGGAGCCTGGTAGAACTATTAAAGTGAGCAATATTCAGATTCATTGATGCAAACTGAAACCTTCCGCAGCAACATGAAGGTGGCAGCTAATAATTGGCTCCTGAATATTGCCGAGGTTGTTTCATCGACGAACATTGGTTGTTTTTAATGATGTCGAATCTGCAAGAACTGGTGAACTATCCATATGACATGAAAATGGAAAAGTAGCAAATTTCGATAGAAGGAATAAGGCAGAGCCAGAATTTCTCACTATTCAACAGTGCTGCTATTGCTACAACTTTACAACAATTGCTCCTTTTCTCTCATCACATCTCCAGGTTCTTTCTTTTTTATGGACAAGAACAATCGACGCAGTGTGGAAAAACTATAAATGAAAACATGTAAGTTAGCAAAACTTCCCCAGGGAACAGGAGTCAATGCCACACTAGAACAAAGTATTCAGGACTCTCAGAATTAAGACCTGTCGATCCAATAATTCACCATTCACAGACTACAAGCGACCGAAAATCCCTTCTACTTTGCTCTCTCTCTTCCCACAATATCCTTCCAACTTCTCCATCTCATCGATGTGCTGCTTCTATTTACAGTGCTTGAAACGCGAACTCGATAATAACCTCATTGCCAATTTTGGAACCGAAGCTCACTAGTCCTAATCGAACACGAATCAGGGGTCATGAACCCAAGGTTCTTTTTCCCGAGATTCGTCGATTACCGAGTCTTTCAGCGAAAGGCCATCGAGGATATCGCTCTCTGAATCGACCTGAAGTTCCTTAAACATCGCCATCACTTGAATCATGGTTGGTCTCCGGTAAGGCCTGTCATCAAGGCACTCGAATGCAATTCTCAAATAATGGAACAGCTCAACCTCCCCCGATTTATGCTCCATCAGTTCCGGGTCTAGTATCTCGTTACTTCTCTTCTCTCTCTGAAGCTGCTTAGCCCATCCGACTAGGTTATTATCATCACCGAACGCGGAAGAGTCGATCGGCCTTTTGCCCGAAAGAAGTTCCAGAAGTATTACGCCATAACTGTACACATCGCCTTTTGCCGTGCAACGAAAACTCTGATAATACTCTGGGGGAACATATCCCGGAGTTCCTGCGAGGGTGCTCACGCTGAGATGGGTGTCGAGAGCATTCACCAACCGAGCCATGCCGAAGTCAGAAACTCTAGCTTCGAAGTTCTCGTCCAGAAGGACGTTGCTCGACTTCATGTCCCGGTGGATGATGTGAGGAATGCAACTGTGGTGAAGAAAGGCTAGGCCTCTCGCCGACCCGATGGCAATCTTCTTTCTTGCGGGCCAATCAAGTTTCGAGACACCTCCTCCCTTAGACCGATCGTGAAGAACCGACTCGAGGCTTCCCCATTTCATGTACTCATACACAAGGAGCCTCTCCTCGCCGACCTTGCAATAACCCATTAACGGAACCAGATTGCGGTGCTTGATTTTCCCTATGGTTTCCATTTCTGCTACGAACTCTCTATCGCCCTGACCTGTCACGTGAATAAGCTTCTTTATGGCAACGACATTCCCGCCCCTCAGTTTAGCCTTGTAAACCTCGCCAAACCCTCCTGAACCGATGAGGCTCTCAGCGCTGAAACCATTCGTAGCTTCAAATAAATGCGCGAAAGTGAGCTTACGCAGAGGCTTCTCGAATGTGGCGACGTTGATGCTCAACGGCTCGTGGACACTGGAGATCTTCCAGCTGCCACTACCCGAAGTGGGGAGGCTCTCTATGTACTTCTCTCTCTGTTCCTCGATCTTCTGACCCCGCTTGACACGGTAAAGCGCGATGGTGAGGCCAAAGATGCATGTGAGGAAGAATGTGATGCCTATGACCATCCCGGCCTCAAAAGACTGCTTCTTATCGCCATTATAATTCTGCGACGGGTGGCTTGACCCGCTCCCGGATGCACAGGGTGATAAAGGGACCCCACAAAGGCCACTGTTGTTCGCATATCTGGATGCCGGGAATGTCATGAGCTGACCTCCGGAAGGGATAAGGCCACTTAGGTCATTGTTTGACACATCAAGATCATTGAGGAAATTGAGAGAACCCAATGAACCAGGAACAGGTCCTGTGAGATGATTGTGAGAAAGATCGAGAACTCCTAAACTATTCAAACCTCCAAAACTGTCGGGAATTGTTCCTGTAAGATTGTTGTGTCCCAAGTTTAGAACTTGCAAGTAGCTCATGGAGCCATAATTTTGCGGGATTGTCCCCGACAAGAAATTGTAGGACAGGTCGAGGTAGATCATGCTCCCATTGCTGGCGAAGGTGTAAACTGCCATGCCTGAATAGATCCTAGTCAATGGACAAGAATGAACCATTGGGAAACTCTCCAATCTCGCCGCACGTATCCCCTCGAACTCCACTAATCCTCCAGCACCCCTGCACTCTGTACCTCCCTCGTTCCTCACGAACACAAATCGCTTGCCCGAGACATTGCCCGGCATTACCAGGCCAGTCTGGTCAGCGAGATCAGGTGGGACCGGACCCGTGAGGTCATTGCTGTTCAAGTCGAGCCAAATTAGGCTCCGACAGTTCCCAAGCTCCGGTGGAATCCTTCCTGTGAGTGAGTTGCTGCCCAGTTGGAGGATCGCGAGGCTCGCAAGATTCCCGAACCCTGCAGGTATTTCTCCTGTGAGAAGGTTGCTAGAAAGTGATACCCAGCTCATGTTAGTGCAACTGGCGATGGATTTCGGAATGCTTCCAGAGATAAAGTTGTTGTTCAGGATCAAAGTCTCCAAGTTTCCTCCATTTACACAAATGTCTTCAGGAATTTCGCCGGTTAGGTTGTTTGCCCACATAACCAAGTCCAAGAGATTCGGCAAATCCCAAATTTCTTTCGGGATATCACCATCCAGGTAGTTGAAGCTGAGATCAATTGATTTCAGGTTCTTGCAGTTTCCGAGCTGCCGAGGAACGGTCCCTGAAAGATAGTTATTCGGAAGCAGTAACTTCTCCAGGGGCGAGGACAAATTGTTTGAGCAAAAACCAGAAGGAACATTTCCTGTAAGTTCGTTTGAGCTGAGGTCGAGCACCTGGAGCTGAGTGCACTGATACAGTGACACCGGCACGGGGCCGGTTATATTGTTGAACGGCAAGTAGAGAAACTTGAGGCTCGTGATGTTTCCAATCACCGTGCTGAGAAAATCTCCATACAGCCGATTGTTCCCGAGGTTGAGACTCACGAGAGAAGAGCACGAAGTGAACGCGGGCGGCATCCCGCCGGAGAGATTGTTCCAAGAAAGATCGAGCTCTTGCAATGTCCCACAAGCCTGCGCCAACTCAGGTGGGATTTGCCCCACAAAATGGTTGTGTGACAGATACAGTCGTTCCAAATTCTTAAAACCTCCCAGCAGAGCACCAGGAACCATGTCCTGCAGCTCATTGTGAGACAAGTCAATTGTCTGCAAGAGCTGGCAGTTCTTGAGGCTCGCTGGGAAGTTGGTGCCGGAGAGACAATTGTTTGAGAGACTGAACACGGTGAGGTTTCCGCAGCTGCCAAAGTCGAGATCGGAAAATTTTCCCGAGAAATTGTTCTGAGAAAGATCCAGGAACTTGAGTGATGCTGGAGAATTGGCCACAAACTTGGGAGGCAGAGCCCCAGTCAAATTATTCCTCGACAGATCGAGAAATGACAAGTTCTTGCAAGAGGAAGGAGTGGCATCGAACTTCCCAAGGAGCTTGTTGTCGGACAAATCCAGCAGATTCAAGTTCTGGCAGTTTGTGAGGGTGTAATTCAAGAGGCCAAGATCAGAGATTTGATTGGAAGAGAGATCAAGCTGAACCAGAGAAGGCCCAAATTGGAGAGACCCCCCAGGAATCGAATTGTGCGAGAGGTTGACGTAAGCAAGCCTGGCGCAAGAAGCCAAGAACGAATTAGCCGGCCAAGGGTTGGTCAAGTTGTTGAAGGACAAGTCAACGCTCTCGAGGAGGCAAGAACTGCTGCCACCGCCGGAGACGGAGAGATCGCCGGCAGAGAAGGAGTTGAAGCGCAGGTTGATGGACCGAAGGCCTTGCAGCGCCGCCAGATCGGGGAGGTGGAGGGAGCCGGCGAGGCCGGCGCCGCCGAGATCGACGGCGGAGACCCGGCCGTCGGAGGAGCAGGAGATGCCCTTCCACGAGCAGGGAAGGGACGATGTGGCCACCCAGCCGGACAAGAACCCGTTCGGGTCGGACCGGACAGAGGATTTCTTGAAAGAGAGCAAGCCGGATACGTCGTCGCTGGTGGCTAGTTGCCTTCTAGCTTCAGCAACTGCGATGAGGAGGTGAAGCAGAAGAAAGAAAACGAAGCGCAAAGAGCCACTGATGATTCTCCTCCATTCTCTGTTCATTTTTCTTTTTTTCTTTTTTCCTGGGTCTTGTTCGCTTCCTTCAGATGTTCATGACAGAAGCGCCAGCTAAAAGCTCAGGCCCAGAGAAAGCAAAAGCGAGTATCTTTCTTCCTTCCTCTATTCAGTTTTACCTCCGTTTCTTGGTGTTGGGATTTCTTCCGAAACTGCTCGACCGGGGCTGGTTTCTCCGCATTGCTGGCTCTATCAAAGAGGAAATAAGACAAGAAAAATCAATAATTGGCAAGAGAATAAAGAATACTGCTGGAGAAAGGAAGAGAAAAAAACGAAAGATCTAGAGAGAGAAACGATCGAGTCAAAGACTCAAAGTGGAAGCATAAAGAGAGAGAGAGAGAGAGAGAGAGAGAGAGAGAGAGAGAGTGGGGAGTGGTGATTGAGTGGAGGAGATGTGAAATGGGCAGTTAAGAAAAGTACAAGAAAAGAAGGAAACAGGGAGAGACAGCCCAACTGACTCACGGAGGAAGACGATGGGAAGAAAGAGATACCTCGAAGAGGAGAGAGAGGGACAGAAGACAGGTCTGCTGATACGATGTTCAGAAATGTCGGACCCCTGCGCGCGAGCTCCCCCTGCTAAATCCCCCCACTCTTATCTCAGATCAGAGAGAGAGAGACAGAGGCGATGGGGGGAGATCATCGCCGCAAAGCCCCAAAAAAACACAAAAAGGAGAGCTCCCCAACAACGACGCCCGCGCCGAGCAAACGGAACCGGCCCCTCCTTTTCCTCTCGATCGGACGGCAGCTGGGGGGGAGCCCCGCGTGCGGCGGAGTTGACCGTGCTCGGAGCTCGTTGACTGCGCTCGGCAGCTCCAAAGAGCCGCACAGTGGAACCGGGAAGAGTGACGAGAGAGGGCGAAGAAGGGGGGGGGGGGACGAAGAAGTAGAACGAGCAGTAGAAGAAGAAAGGGGAGGTGCCTTGAGCTGGTGAAAAAAGCCTCAAGGGAGGGAGAGAGAGAGAGAGAGAGAATAGAATACAGGGACAAGTTGAAGTTGGTGCCTCTAGAGAGAGGGAGATAGGGAGGGATCTGTGCGGGGGATGATGGAGTGTGCTTTTTTTCCCCTCTTCCCTCTCTTTTGTTTTGCGCTTAGTTCCTTTTCAATTTTTCTTTTGGGGGCCTGCTTTAAATTAATTTAGCTTTCTCAAATTAAGGGAGGGGCGGGTGGGGGGGTCCAGTCAAACTTTGGACTTGATTCGTTTCACTTCCTCCAAAACCTCCTCTTTTGATTTTTTTTTAGATTTTTTTTGGTTTTTATCTTGGGTGGGGGAGGAGGGGTTTGGTGTTTTGATGCTTCTCTTTGGGAGCAATCGGATGAAAACGAATGACCCGGCTCCCACGTCTCCCTCCTTCCCTTTCATTAGTTCCCGCTTGGCGCTTGGCCTCGCCACGAAACGACGCCCCCCCCCCCAAAAAAAAAAAAAACCATCGTAAGCATTGAACAGAGACAAAAAGTTACGTTGGTTTTGAAGGTTCTCATTTGCACGGAGACAAAAAGGTTCTCATTCAACATGAATCACCGACGATGGTATGTCCCGCGATTCATCTGACGAGTCTTGAAGGTTCTCATTTGCACGCAAAAAAAAAAAATGACAGTCTTTTGGTTATTTTCGACGTACAATGGACTTAGTCGACAAGAGCAGAGTTTGACCATTTATGAACATAATTATCGACAGTGTAACCGTCTGTAACCTCTGTTTGTAACTTCTTTTTTTGTAATAACCGTCGATTATAGGCTGTAAATAACCACATCGTGCTCTTCGGAGGTCCCTCCCGTACAAACAAACAATCATGTTATCTTTCAATTCCTACACTGTAGTTATATTTTCCAAACTCTCGGCGTCAATTAAATTCCTCCGTGTTTTTTAACTGTAGTTTCCAAATCCCCGTCATCGATTAAATTTTGACGTTGTATCTTATGTTCTCAAATTTTATCATCGATTAAATTCCAGCACAGTTTGTGTACGTTCAATTCCGTTTAAAGTGGAATTATTGATTCTCTTATTTACCTGTGACATTTTCTATTTGAAATACCCACATAACCTATATCGTATAATAAAAAACGAAAAACGACTTTAGGTGAAAGATATTGTGTCATATAGTCGAATTTCGGCGAAATAATTCTTAAAGTTAGGAAAATGAATTTCCTAACCTAAAAGAGAAAAACATCTTCATAGAAAAAGTGTTTTCCTTCGTCATGAAATTTTCTTTGAAGCAGAGTATGCTTGTATTAATGAAAAAAATCTATGTGAATTAGTTTTCTAAACTTTCATGCGTTCGGTTTGCTGAAAATGAACAGTCGGCGGAAAATCATTTACGATAAAAAAAAACATGTATGATTAAAGTTAGGAAAATGAATTCCATAACCTGAAAAGGGAAATTATCTTCCTAGAAATATGATTTCTCGGAAAATATTTTCCTATATCGTGAAGTTTTTCTCAAAACAAACACACCCTAATTAACAAAAATATCTCGTGGACAGTGAATTACGTACCACCTAAAATTTAGTCGGAAAATGCCGCGACACAAGATCTCGCACGCGGAAAAAATAAAAATAATTACGAAGCAAATGTTTGCCCACGCATGAAATTGTGTTGTAGCGCCAGAGAGCGAAAGCACAAAATCAATATTTCCTTTATCTCTGTCTTCTTGATATATATATATATATATATATATATATATATATATATATATATGTATTATTTAATAATTCCAATGCTTGTTTACGTGCCGACATAACTGGGCATTAACTTCTTCGATTGACGGAACTACGTTCGTCTCCGATCGAGACCCCTCCATGCTCGTGCGCTCGTGCAAGTGTGCGTGCGTGCGCGCGTGTGGGAAGAAGGGGGGGAAAGTTGCCATCAAAACGTGCGACGACATTTCGCGCTTTTCGCAACATTTTGCATGAAAAGGATTTCAGATGTTTTTCGGGGGCCGCCTCCATCCATCCATCCGAGAGGCAGATGTCTCAAGACGAACTTCGTCCTCCCATTCCATTCTTCATTTATTTTATTTTATTTCATTATTTTTCTCAAAGCTTGTCCCTTTCTAGGTTCATTTCTTCGTGCTTCTCGGGCAGTCCAATCCGCTTCCATCTTTCGGGAACCCCCAAAAGAAAGAAAGGAAAAAAAGAGAAAAGAGAAAGAGTGCATGCAAAAAGGAGAAAAGATATTTACGAATCACAATGCGAAAAATAACCTACGCGACAAATGAAAGTGGATGCCTACGTATGCTGTTAGTGGTCTGCCCTAGGAATCAATCAAGGTTGATACTCTAATATTAGTTGTGGATTAGGTTGTATCGGAAAATCGACATTCACTGTACTTAGGTAGTCATAATGTTTTGCCAGAGACCGCTTATGACTTGTGGGCCAAAAAGAGTTTTGAGCACACTGCTAATGTTTAGTGAACCTACAGGGTCGCACACAAAAGCGAACTGAGTTAATATTTTCTGTACGCCGGGATCTACTTAAAATAAGAAGTAGATTTTAATTTATTCTCCTATTCAACTTATCTACGCGGTCGTGCGCATTATGAGATAACGATTAAATGTACGATTGAAGGTGGACGGTTTGGCTTGCCCAAATCGCCTGGCCCACTTCTTTTAATTCCGCTGGATAATGAAGCTGTATAAATAGATAGAAAATCGTTCTCTGTCTAAGGTTTTTCTACAGAGTATCGAAAATCAAAAGGCGTTGAAGAAAACGAACTTCAAGATATTTAGCTAGCACTTGAATCGTTTGAGACTTCTGTTCGCGTGTGTGGAGACCGGTAGAGGCGCAACACTTGGGGCGCTAATCCAGACACAATCAATTGTCAATTTACGCTCGATTTGCAAAAAGTACGTATCAAACTTCTGTCTCGATTTCAATATACGCATGGATCCTATTTAGGGTTCTATATATTCCGCTGCGTTTTTATCGTTGATGAACCTTACATATGCATGGGTTGTGTTCGAGCATCCACGATGAATTCGTCCCGTTTACTTTGTTAATTTTGCTTATGAGTGCTCAAGGGATTAAACTAGGAAAGCGGACACTAAACTAAATACCGTCGTTTTCCTGAAAAATGACTTCCTGAAAAATACCTTTCAGAAATGTAATATTTTCCACGAAACAAATGGTTTTCGCTGAAAACTCGAGATTTGAAAAATATTCTATCGAAAAATGGTCGCTTGTTTCCCTCGTAAAAATGAATGAGTGCAAAAAAATTTAATCACCCATGAAAATAGTTCGTCATAAATTATCGCCGATAAGGAACACATTTTCCGTTGACTTATTTTTTCTAAAGCAATATAACCATTTATTTTTCGGAAAATGTTTCCTAAATCTTGAGTTTCTCGTGAAACAGACGTACCTAAATTCCACAAAGCCAAATGCATCGATCGTGAGATAGTTATGGAATCATATGAAACCAACAAGCACATGTAGCCGAAAAATTGTTTACCGCACGAAATGTAAAGTGGTTATCGAAATTCCATTCTCTTCACCGCATGCTATACAATAAGAATACAGCTTACCTATTTAAGGGAAAAAAAAAACAGCTCTAGAATATAATTAATTCGCCGCGACATGTGCCCTAATTAAGGCCCTATAATTGATCATTTTTCATTCACAAAATTGCTCGGTCAAATATAGTGCAAAAATCAACTCGATGTGCACCACTTTCTTAGCAAATTGAGTGATGGAGGAGGACTTTCTGCCACATTGAAATGGGTTGGTGAAATTACAGATGACCGATTCTTGATCCTTCCCCCCGACCCACAAGAGAGGAAGAATCCCAAAAATGCCACGACAACATCGACTAGTTTTGTTAAAAGGCCAGTTGTGATTAGTCCATTTTTCTATGTCGTTTGAGAAAGGAACGTAATTGCGAGTTTGGGGAGACAACAAATGCAAGCGTGCGTTTGAATCTCACATCACGCGATAGCGAAAGAATAACAGAAATAGAGCCAAAAAAAAAAATTGTCACGACCCCCCTTGGCGTATGACCCCGTCGACCTTCCTTTTGTTTTACAAAGTCGGCCTTTATCTTATGATGTGTATACCCATCAACATCCTCACGTTCTACATAGTTTCCGATGGTTGACGAGCTGACATGGACCGCTCATAACCTAACAGTTTTTACATCTTTACCTACTACGTCTTTGTTTTTGAATGTTGCAAATGTCGATTTTCGCTCGTCCGATCGAAATTCGGCGACCCACGACCAGCACCCGAGGCAATTGTCGCCCGACGGCCTAAGTTCAAAGTGCGATAGGATCCGGGGTCTGGATCGAAAAAGATCGTCCCTTTTCCGAGAACATAAATTCCGCCTACATACGTACGATTGATTTTACGGAACTTACGCTTTATTTTTCCCCTCCTGTGGAGATAGTGTAAGATTGTGGGGGGAAGTCAAGTCTTCTTATTTTATTATAGGGGGGCAAAATTGAAAATAATTTCGAAAATTATAATATAATAAAGTAAGATAATTTATATTGTTTTTGTCGGTGCGGGGGGGCAACATTTGTCAGGATGCACACCGCACGAGCGCATCCTAGTCTCTCTCTCTCTCTCCCCTCCGTTAGATTCGCACCTTTGCCTCCTCCCTCAATCCACACAAACTCCACCCCCCAAAAAAAAAATAAAAAAAATTTGCCGGAAATTTTTTTATAAAAAAAAGAAAGAAGAAGTGGCCCGCAATACATGAAATATAAAAAAAATAAAATTGCGATAA